GCCGATCTACAAGTCGGCCAGCGGAATATAGCGATCCTCAGGTATACCTCCCTCTCCCCAGCAGGGCACCGCCACAATCGGGTCAAGATTTTCGCACCCGACATGTGTAGTAGTGTAGTGCATGCAAGCATGTGTGAGGAGAGGCGGTTGGACGGGGAAGTGGAGTGATAGATCGCGCGCGGTCCGCGACCCCCTTGTTAGGGTTCTGCGTGAGAATTCGCCTGGCGTGAATAGGAACCACGGAAAACTAGCCATCTGAGCAACAGACTCCAGGCAGCGGTTTAATTCGACTTAGAGTCAAAAATCCGCCACCGTCTAAACTGGAGCCCTAGGACCTCCCGGCCTGAATCGCCGCAGAGGCAATTCGCGCCCCCGGACGGGACCTAGGGCACGTCGGCCCAGCAGCCCCTCCTGCTGGACGCCCCTGACGGCCCCTGACCGCGAGTGGTGTGAGGTCGTGTGAGCACGTGTTCTCCGTGCCTGCCTTTCCCCGCGCGCGGCGCGAGCACCGCACTCTGAGGGCGGATGTAGGCGTTAAGTGCACCTCGCAGGGGATTCCATTTGCCAGGATTTAATTATGGAGAAGCCACAGGACGAGGGTCCTCTTCTTCTCTGTTTTATCCCCAAAATTCTACGATGTGTCTTTGAAAATGTGCAGTAAATTTTGTGGCCTATCTGTTATTTTTCGTTAATTTTATTTCTTAAAATGAACGTGTATGATTCTTTCTTAAGGCCGAAGAAAAATAGTTTTTAGATGCGTAAAATCATAATATAATTGTACTTTAAGTCACCTGCTCTATTATTACGTTTGTACCGTTACGAGCCACTTAGAGAATAGATAACTAAAACTGCTGATAACCTTTTCGTTCATCTACACATTTTCCGCATAGAGTGATACACAGAAAAGAGCGTATTAAACTAATTTATAAGTACTTACTCCCTCGTATGGATTACGAAGAACCTACTCCTAACGTCGTTCGTCCGGAAATATTTTATTATTCATGAAAAAATATAAAGTAACTGATTATCGATTATTAGAAGTTTATTTTACGTATCTTCGGCATTTTTGTTTGGAGGAAAATGTGGCAACTGGGATCGTCTATCTAACAGTTGGTCGCTTTAAACATACCTTTATAATAATATAATGAATTGCAACATTTCATCACGTATATAATTGAAAAATTAAAAATGCTCAGTGAAAAATAAGAATAAGCTCAAAGAATATCCAGAAAGTGATTCTTAAGAATCGTTCATAGTTAATAAAAATAACGTTAACTGCACCAACCAAAAAAATATTGCAGTCAAACGAAAATATAAAATATTTTCTGACAATACAATAGTACATGATATAAGTTACATACAATAGTACACAATTTATGTTATCTTAATATCAATAAGGGTCAACCCGGATAGCCGAGATCCTTAAGGCAGTAATGTCCTGACGATCTCGAATCGAAGGACCGCGGGTTCGAATTCCGCCTATGGCATGGATGTATCTGTGATCGTCCCTTCACCCTTCATCATCGTACTATCACTTCATTAAAGGAGGATTAATAATTCCCTACGCGGGCAGGAGACCATTACCCTTAATGGGATATGTAGTTGGCTAATAATAAACATCAATAAGGAAACCGAAAATTAATAGTATTATTATCGCAACTCAAAAGTAACAAACGCAAATTATAATGTTTAAAAAAATACATGTTTCTGTCATAATATGAAGATATTTTGAAGATTGACAAAAAATAAAAAACAGAATTTAAACACAAAGTTAATTAAGAAATACATTAGGCAAATTTTCGTAAGAATGTACTGATAACAATACGGAGGTGGAACGATGTCTGAAAATGTGCTTGTTTATTGAGGCGAAGGCCGTGCGCAGCGCGCCGTGGCCGGCCCTTTCTCTGGCGCTGCCCCGGTCCACCCTTGCTTCCCTCCCAGCCTTCCTCGGCACACCCGACCTCGCTCCCGCCATCACTCTCGCCTTTCTATCGCTCCTTTATTGCTTCTCGTTCGTGCCTTGTTCTCACCCTTCCCCCGTTCTGTTTCCGTGTTCCTTCCGTCTTGCTCCCACCCACTTCCTGAAGCCCATCCTCACTCCCTACTTCCTCCCTGCTCCCGACCCCGCTCCCTGCAACTCGCGATCCTTGCCCGACCAACATTCAACTCCCCCAACCCGACCCGCACTAGATCTGCAACTGACCCGCACCCATCCAGAACCGACCACACCGACCTGAACACTCGACCAAGGCCGACCGCACCCTCTGGAAGTACGCACCCGACCAGCACACGACCTCCTGATCCGTATGCCGACCGTACCTGCCGACCTGCACCCGATCCTACACGATTCCACCCGATCCCAACCCGATCCCTACCCGACCCCACCCGACCTCACCTGACCCGCACATGCGGGCCCATCCGCTCCCAATCGCTCCCAGACGCTCCCGACCCGCTCTGAACCGCTCCAACCCCACCCAAACCACACTCGACCCAAACAACACCGCACCCACACCGCTCCCAATCGACTTTCACTCGGCTTTGGACTAACCAGCTCAACTACATTCAACCCGCACCGCCCGCTTCTATCTCAATGACCCTGCCCCTGATCTTCTCTCTCTCATCGCCTTCCACTTCCGTAGCACCTGCTTTGCTTGAGCCCGCCCTCCCCCCCCCCGCCGCCAGCCTCCTCAGTCGTCGCCCGGGCCGCGGCCTTTGAGCGCCGACGCCTGATTGAAGAGCGTGGCTTCCTCGACGCAGGCACCCCCCCCGCCACAGCCCCGACGGCTTCCGCTCGCGCCCTGCCTGCCACTGCCAATTTGAATGGCTGCCTGCCTGTGTGTCTGCGGTGCCCTCCCCCCTCGCTCTAATCATAATTAATATGAATAACCTGGCCGCAAATAACGCACCGCATCCGCTGCTAGTTGTATAATTCCCTGAACGCTCCGTGTCAATTTTGCGAGGTAGACAAATCATTTTTGTAAACAGTACTGTGAAATGAATTTATTTTAAATATAATTGCTACATTACTTCGTTTCTCTGTAGTCAAATATCCAACTTCTGTTTTTTTACATCAATTCAACGTTTTGAGCGTTTCTCTCTCCAAATTAACGTAAAATAATTTAACAGAAAACTAAATATCATTTTCAACTTTCGGAACCTTTCTGCATATTCACGAGGTTTCTGCACTAGTTCGTTAAAACAACTCCCATAGTCCAATATCTGAATTATATGCATATACATCATAACCGCTTCACTTTCTGTTCAATGGAGAATACGTCAATGATTTGCTATTATTTTATTTTTCTACGTTTAATTTAGAGGGCACGTCGGTATTGTTTATTTACTCTTGAATCAATTTAAAAACCATTTTGTAGCTTTTATTTATTTTCTAAATTTCTAAGTTAATTTAAATGCAATTTTTAATGTATTGATAAATGAAGTCTGTAAAGATTAAATTGCATTGAGGTACATCGCGTTCCGACGTTTGAACATAGGGCGTGATTTTGCAAGAGAGACACTATAAATTGGTTTTTAAAAAAACACATTTGAATTGTATGAAGATAAGTTTGTGTAAAAACATCGACACTGAACAATTCAAACATGGCGACGTGCATACAAATATTAATCATCTTATATTTAAATATATAACTGTAAACTATAAATATTTTTACAAAATTGGCTAGGACATCCAGGTATCTGACACTGTTTTAAACAAAGTTTTGTCCATTTCGCGTAGCCCAAAGAACAAAAACTTAGCGAGTTGGTTACGTCGGGACAATAAATGTTAATTTTTACCTCTAAAAACGTGAGTTGATTTAACAGGCATAAATAAAATATCAGTGCACATTTTTCCTATTTCCATTTTTCTTCCCCTCTTCTTTCTTTCTCTTTATCTTTCATTTATTATTCTTTGATCATTTCTTTCATTATTATATTTGCGATTTCGTTTCAAATAGAGAATTCTCTCGACCAAAATGACAGAAGAATGGTTAATGAGGTTTTATAATAGAGAGTAATATAACCAATTGTTTGGTAGCCAACATTTACAGAAATATATTTCCATCATTAGGAACATAATGTACAAGATCAAAAAGTAATAATAGCATGTTAATTAACACTATCACGTTTATTTCAATTCTGCGATAATTGTGTGAGAGAGAATACGCTCGAGTGATTAATTAAACGTTCTGATTGTAATTTTTTTTTGTTATTTTAAATTCAAGCTCTGGTGACGGAAACATATTTACCGAAACGTTGGGAAACAGCTAGTTTTATTACTTTGCGTTGAACTAGCCGCCACGAAGCAGATTTCATTTTCGTTTCCTTTCTGTCATTTGCACCTGCTCTTTCGCCCTCCCGTTCTGCTCTCGAGGCAGAGGGCGGTGCTCTCGAGGCAGGAGGACTTCCTCTGCTGCGCCCCGTCGCCTCCCGAGGGCCTCCTGAGCGCCCGCGCGCCCTTGAAGCGATCAACGAGCCCCCAGGGCTCTTCGAGCGCACGCGGGGCGTTTCTCTACGGTCGAAACTGAGTTGAAAAAGTGTATTTGTAGAGTCCCTAATAATTAAAGTGGTGGATTGATAGGCGGGTGAGGGTGTTGTTTAAAGTTATTCTAATAAGCAAATTTTGCTTTTCACAAGTAACACGATTAAAAGTTTTGAATATTAATTTATACGAATTTCTTCGTACGTTTTTAAACGAAGCATTCCAGACTTTCAAATTAGTAACTGAATAATTGATTAGAGACCCTTACTCCCTGACCGCACTCCCATTTTTATCTCACTTTTTTATTATATTCATATAAAATTACTAAAAGAGAGTGCTCGCGTATGTTTATCCACAATATATCATTAAGATATCATTAAGACTACAACATTACATCGCAAGTTGAAGCAAGAAACAAATGTACAAAGTTCCTAGTACCGCTATTGTTTATTGTGAAGTGTTTCTAAGCGTTTCCTTGCAACGTGTGTTTCTCTACTGGAGAGGGTGTTTGTGTGCACAGCTTGTGGCTGCGGAGCGTCTCCTTAGCACGAACACATCGCGAACCATGGCGGCCATTTCCTTGGGCTTCATCGTCATGGTGACGCCGTGGACCATCCAGGAGGTGGTGGCTGCGTGCACGGGGTCCAAGGTGAGCATTTTTAAAAAAATTATCATTGCCTCAAAGAGGGTAGTTTTTTCTTTAAATTTTAAAGGGATGAAAACATTTTCCTGTGTGCGGCTTTGTTTAAAACGATTTCTTTCTGGAGTTCTGAAGAGCTATTTTCAAGATCAATAATGAATATTACATTTAATGACCAAGAATAGTTATTACACTAGAAGTTACATAACTTGTTTCGACTCTTCTTTTATAACTATGTTTACCTTCTTCACAAAATATAGAAAATTACTAGAAACCGTTGCTATTAAAAACTAAACTAATTGTTTATTTATACAATTAAAATGTCTTAAAAATGTTCTTGCGGACCCAGTAATGTTGGATATATAAATTAAATAATCATTTAATTTTCACCACCTCACACGGATACTAATTCTCAACATCATTGTTACTTTGTGAAAACGTCACCTACCGCAAAACTGAAAGTATGCGCATCGCAAAGAAGTCAAGGCCATATAAAACCACTGGATTCGACACAAACTAAACATTGGGGCGTCATTAAATCATTATGGCTGCCATGTTGCATTTGCAGAATGATTCCCACAGTGTATGGAAGTTCCATTTTTATGTATTACAAATAATATAAGCATCTCGTAAGAATGTTTTTTTGAGCGAACTAGTTCCAAAATTCTCTTTCGTCACCACGTCAGTCAACATTTCACTCGCAAGCCACAAACTCTCTTTCGGTACTAGTTACTTCAATAACAATTGTGGAACAAGACCTAATGTAATGAAACAATCATTACATAAGAGGTCAAGAAGCAGTTAGTGTTTAAAGAGCTTTGTTAGTGTTTGCTGATTGCTTCCAGGTGCAGCCATTTCTAGACCTCCGATGAGCAACAGCTTCTGGAACCCTTTCCTGTACTGGCTGCTCAACAACCAGTTCCACTTCGTCTGCAGGAAAATGCTATTCTCAAAGGTTTTCATTTGGGTGTCGTAGGTACCGCCATTTCTGGACTTCTTGGCGACGTGGCTGGCGCTGAGCAACAGCTTCTGGAACCCTTTCCTGTACTGGCTGCTCAACAGCCAGTTCCGACTCGCCTGCAGGGAGATGATTGTGGATAGGGTAAGTTGTGGAAAAATATTCAACATGCTATTCATTTCGTCTTTATATGTAATCCAACGAATAAATAACGAGTTCCCTGTTACGTTTTCTTTTACCTCAACGCATTATAGCTCCACTTTTGTACGTTCTGCTGTAATCTTATTTTCTTTGATAAAATTATAGAGGCCGAGTCATTTTAGGTGTAAAGTACACCATCGTTTTGATCTCCTCTAAACAAATATTTTCGATGAGATTTTACTGAGAAATGCTTCATGATTGCACTGTCGTGTCTTGTGAATTACGCTTCTTCTGTTACATCTAGAAGGTTGTGTTTTGTGTCAGGCGTAGCGCCAAAGATAGTTCTGTGTATTGCCGAATAATATGTTTTTAGACAGCCACTAGTAAAACCAGTTGTTTCAGGTCATTCGGAGCACTCTAGAAGTTCAATTTTTAGCCCTGGTGCTAAAGAGTGAGACGATGATGAAGTGTTCAGATAAATCGCTTATGATATTCATGGTAAAAGTGTTTTTATTTTGCTCTTAGGATTGTGCCAATGGGCCTATGGTTCTTCTGTCGCAACTTTTCCAACTCACAAAATGTCATTTTGTAATACTCTTATCATAAATAACTACTTCAAATACCGACGGCAAAAACTCTAATTTGTGAATTGACAAAATTGGAGGGCAAATTATGACAACAATGTATCTTGTGAAGCGAACCAATCTCGGTCGTCTTTTAGGATATCGGAATCTTTCTCTACCAACCCGCCGTCAAAATTACAGTGCACTTGGTGGTCAACCATTACGCTAAGAATCTCCTATGTTTACAACAACGTATCAAGTCTTAGAAATACACATAAAATTCCCGTGATTCTACGACGAAATTGAAAAAATACTAAAAATACTTACTAAGGGAAACTATGATTCTGAGTCTTCAATGGTACAGGATTAATTTATTGTTAATATTATTAGGAACAAGTTTGTGGGTATTTATTCCCATTAAAATGACTGATCACATAATTTCTCTTCCACTGATATTTAATACCTGAGTATCCAAGAAACATTATATTGGCGTTTGCAGCAACGTTCTCCCGGAAGGGATTTTGAGTTTGAAAATTGTATTCACTGGATTGGGTATGGTATGGGCAGGAATCTGAATAAGATAATTGTACTACAGCTTATATTTTAAATAAACGTATGCTTTGCTATTATTTATTCTACTTTGAAAAATCTTTGGTGCACATTCAATTCCTTAAGCCTCTTATTCACCATTTTCGGATTTTCACTCAATATTGACAAAAAAAACAAGCTTTCATTTGGTATGAAGGCTTAGGTCTGTGAGAAACACGCTTTTCATTTTTGAAACATTTTACGTTTGTTACTAAATTATTCTTCGAGCTTTCTACTCAGTATATAATGTATGGTTATTATTCAGAAGTTTCTCAGAAAACATAAACAAATGATAAAATAGTACAGAATGTGCATTTTAACTTAAGAAACGTGAAGTTTAATAAATAATTACTTGTAGACTTAAAAAATAATTAGTCTTATAATCGAAAGTATAATAAATGAACGTTAATGCTGCTTTGTGCTTTGTAAGATACATTTGTAACTATTAGCATCAAAAGTGCTCCTCTGTCATTTTGTACAATTCTAAGGCACTTAGCGAGAAGTCCCCACCATAACAAGTCACTTAGTGCAGACTGTGAGGCGCATTCTGTCATTAACTGTGGAGAGGTGATGCGAAGTCATGTGGCCCCACATTTTTTCTAAGTTTTGCACTTTCGGTCTATTTGCAAGTGAGAGGCAATGGTACCTTTATGCGATACTTTTATCTGAATGCAGTAAGCATCCCTCAGTCATGTCAACGCAAAGTTCTTACATGCCCTGCACGTCTAGAAATCAGTCGGGACCTTAGAGCTGGTCCAAGCTGAGGCGGCCCCCGCTGGGGAAGATACCTGGGGAGGGAAATCCCAAGCCCACGTATCTGTTGACGCCGGATCCCACCATCTAGCAGAAAAGGAATCACCGCCACCCCGGGATAAACACATTCACTGCACTTACGGTGCAGCTGATGTTCCCGGAAATGTCAATTAATCAATCTCTCAATCAATCAGTCCGGCGCAAAATTTCTAAGCATATTACACAAAATTACGTAGGGATTATGTTCTCTTACTTCCGTTACTTCGCTTACTACTAAAGAATTTCTACTTAATTAAATATGCGCATTCCAAATGCTTTTCAACTACCATATGCTTCAGGTGCTTCCCAAACCCCGGCCTCTCCCCCCCCAAAAGAAAACACACGCGTGGGCTCAGGCCTCAGCTCCCTGCCTGGCTCCCACGCTCCTTTATGAACGCTCTCGTTTTTCACGAGATTCCTCAGGTTTAGCAACCCCTTCTAAGAGAATCCGGTTCTCCTCTTGACTCCTTGATGAGTTGCCTGTGAGAGATAGACCAGATGAGAAAATGTCTTAAGAGATGCGAATAGCTTCATGCGATATATCCTAAAGTTTTTTGAGTTATGCGCGTACATACTAGAACATACTTTTGAATGTCATTTATTTTAGAATTATGAGGGACTAGAAAAAATTGTGAATACGTGTGAACCAAAACCCACACAAAGTTTTTTTAATGTAAACTGAGAACTTGAGATAATAATATGAAGTAGTATTATTTCCTTTATTATTCTTGTGTTAATATTGAAAAATAGGTATATGAAATCTGTTAAGAGATGTTTTAGAACTGCAGTCGTTCTGACGGGGAAGGAATTGTCGCTTACTCTTTCATAAAGTACGTATTTTTTCACGTTCGTGTTCGCAGGTGCTGTGCCGGCGCCGCGAGCGGTCCAAGTCGCAGTGCTGCGGGGGCG